GAAGTTGTCGGAAGTGAGTTTGGAGACTGAAAGAAGGTTGTGGGTGAGAGATGGTACATGAAGGAGATTGGAGAGGTGCAACTTACGGGTAGAGTCGGGTAAGGGAAGGAGGCCTCGTCCAGCGCTGTTGATGGGGAGAGAGTTTCCGTTAGCGGTAGAGATTGCTTCGACACTGTAATAAGGAGTTGGATATTGAAGATGGTTGGCATCCGGCGTGAGGTGAGTAGAGGCACCTGAGTCAAGAATCCAGTCTTGACTAACTTGAGCGGTCGGATTGGCATAAAGAGCCCGCGGTTGACGAGTGTCTGTGGGAGCATATTTAGGATTGTTACGGTGCCAGCAATTGAGCGCGATGTGACCTGGTTTGCCGCAAATCTGACAGACGGGTTTGGGACCGGACTGCGGAGCTGGAGCGTTGGTTGGGTAGGCCGAGATGGAAGGAGTTGTCGTCTGGTTCTTGGGCTTGGTGAAGCGACGATTGTTGTTGTTGCGATTTCGTGTGGAGTTAGCCGAGGATGCATACAGAGCGGTGGGCTGGGTTAGATCTTGTTGATTTTCTTGCTGAAGATGTATTTCTTCATTGCAGAGAAGAGCGTAAAAGGTGTCAAGATCGATAGGAGACAGCGAATTACGTATGGTGGACTTGAACGGGTTGTAGGAAGGCGGAAGACCGTTGAGAATGTGAAGCATGATATATTCGGATTCAATCTTGGAACCGGACGCAGAGATGTTGTCCACAAGGATCTTGATGCGAGTAAGATACTGTTGTACCGTGAGGTCCTTCATTTGAGTGCGATATAGCTCGTTCTTGAGCTGAATCACGCGGGAGCAGCTGGTCGGTTGAAGGCGCCGCTCAAGAACAGCCCAGGCCTCGTGGGCGGTGGAAGAAGAGATGATATAAGGTAGAGTAGTTTGAGAAACGGTGCAGAAAAGGGCTGAAAGAAGGTTGTTGTCCACCACCAGCCACTGGGCATAATCAGCAGAGGTGTTGTCAAGAGGAGCCTGAACAGTGCCGAGAAGGTGACCGGCAAAACCATTCGCGGTGAATTGTTTGAGGATTTGAACGCTAGCTGCTACGCTTTCTCCACCCGCGCGAACCCTCTCCACTCCCGCTCGACTCTTGATCCTACCCGAATGCGTCGCCCCTCTGGCCAAGAATTAGTCCTTCGTCACCCTTCTCTTCAGGTTTGTGAGTTCTCCATCTTCGTTCGTATTTAGTGCAGTATAGAAGCTCCTGTCCATGTTCTCCATTTTTTAGACATTGGTTCTTCGGTGTTTTGGGTTGGAGGGGATTCGGTTGACCTGTAACCAATGGTGGTTTGTTTTCTTGTTTATGAGATAAGATCAGCTTTATTTCATGCATTGAATTGCATTCGTTAGATCACCTCAATGGGCCTTAACTTTGACTTAGCAGAGCATGGTTTTCTCATTGAATCACCCGAGCTGTTACGCCTTTGGTTGAGCTTCTCATGACATCATATATCATGGCTAATAATCTATCTCCTCCATCATTCTCTCCCTCCATCTCTCCCTTCCTCCAAGACTCTTCTTTTACCTCAGTTTTTTTATGTATTTGCTGAAAAGGCTAACTCACGGTTTTTGAATACAATAGGCATGATAAGTGGCAGCAGAATCTTCAGTCTTATCCAACAATCGTGGATTCCATCGCCCGGCAAACTGTCCCTGCTTCGGCCAAGAGGAAAAGAATACCAGCTATCAAGAGGTGATGTTTCCTTGTATGCTATATTGTTAAATGTGCGATTTTTGCATGTTTTGTTTCTTTCCCCTTTGTACCTGTGATTAATTATCTTTAAGTTAATTTCGAACTTAAATACCCTTAAATCGGTTAGATTTTCGTTACATCAATCGAATGAATGTGTGCCCTAAAATTGGGCCCTTATATAAAGCATCTAGAAATAAAATTGGTAAACAAAACACAAGAAGTAACCTAAAAGATGCCTTTCTTGGCTAAAGAATTAGATGGCCCTAGATTATTTTTATTTTATTTTTTTAATTGACGATGATAATTGTTATACCTTATTGGTTGCATTCCTCTTTTAAGTCATCCAAGGCTTTTAGTTGATTATATAACTTACATTTCATGTGCTATACTTTATTTTGTTTTCCAAAATGAATGCAGTTACCCTTCCTACATTGCACGGGCAGGGTGTTTCTTTTCAGTATTTTCAGCGGAACATACATTCAGCTATTGGGGAAGTTATTGATAGTGGTCATGCTTTTGTATATCATGTTGGCTCTAAGGTACACATTATGATAAAGCTCAGTTTCTTTCATTAAGAAGTATGATTTTGCACCTTGGATAACTTGGTTTTTAAACATCAAAATTATCAAGGTAGATGGTTAAACTTTATCCTTGATTTACCCCTTCTTCTTAATTGTTCTGCAATCATAAAAATTAATTTGAACAAATAGGAATGTGTTAGTTCAATAATATATATCAAATTGCTCATGAATGGATGAACTCCTTGCTTCTATTACCCCATATGAAACAATCTCTTCAATCTTCAATTTTCCTCCTAGGATAACACTCTCGCTGAAGTTGGTGTATGCATTTTAATGGGAAAATTATAATGTCACAAAGCCTTGTAATTATACATCTTAATTATTCTTCACTGAAGACTTGAGCAATGATGATTTTCGATTATATTGCATCTCAAATAAAGTGACAATCTACTTCAATAAGTTTGATTCTTTCATGAAATTTAAAATTGATTGCAATGTAGATAACTATTTGATTATCACAATAAAGGATCAAAAGCAATGTTATTGTGAAGCTGAATTCTTTTACCATAGCTCTAATACACATCATTTTGCATTAAAAAATGAGCAATTATCCTTTATTCAACTTTAGTGCTAGATATAACAACATTAATATGCATCTTATTTCTCTTGGACATGAAATTTTTACGCAACATCTTAAAGTAACTTAACGATCCTCAATAGCTTTAGTATAGTTAACATCACAATAAGCTTCAATACTTAAATGATTGTTTTTACGACAATCAAAATATTTTCTCGATTTCCTGATACATCTTAAAACTAATTGGTCAACATCTCAAATTTTCTTCTTTGGGGTTTTGTTTATGCTGTCTAATCAAGCCAAAAACAAATCATAAATAATGTCAATTGGTGCATATAAGTTTGCCAATCAAATATTGATGGTTAAAAACATTTTGAAGCTTTTATCATTCTAGTTATTTATAGAATATTCGTTGGAGAGTCAGTTGGCTTACCCCAAGAAGACTGGCTTCAATAATGTCTGTAGCATATTTCATTTGAGAGAGAAACACCTTCCATTCCATACACAAACTTGATGCCAAAGTATTGGTTGATTATAATATTTTATTTCATCAATGTTGTAAGAATCATTCATAGTAAGAAGAGTTTCATCAAAATACATAACAATAATCATTATGCCACAGAAAGAGTAGCAAACAAAGATAGGATGATCAACATGCTACTTCCTACCATCATCTATAATAAACTTGCATAGTTTACGAACCAGCCATGTTGCTTTGTTTCATTTAAGCTATATATAGTTTTTTGAGGCTTGTAGATTTTTTTGTTCGCCTAAGCAAAATATTATTGAAATTGTTTCATAGAGATTTCCATCAAGAAAATCATTGTTGCCATCCATTTGAAGCAAGGTTCATCTTTGATTTAAGGGAACAAAGAGAAAAAACACATAATTACACCGAGTGATGGTGGGAAAGACTTTAAAGTAGTTAATGCCATAGACTTGTAAGCCTTCGACAACCAATTGAGCTTTGTAATAGTTAAACGATTCACTAGGATGGAATTTCAATGTTGGACCCAATGAAATAATATGAGATGTAACTCTTAAGTGGGGGTAATCGGTTCCCATGTATGACGATTAAAAAGGTCAGCCATTTTAACATTCATCTCATGCTTCCAGTTACGATTATATATTTCCTAATTAATTTGGATAATATAGAGAATATAAAAGGGCAAATAGACAAAAGGAAAATGATAAATGATCAAAAAACACAAATGAGTATTTTGAGTCGTTAGTGCTATGTTGTATATCTTTTTTGTAGAGTAATCGAGAGTTGTACACCCCCTACTTAGATGCATATTTAACAAAATGAATTGGAGGAGGCATATGAGGTCGAGTAATATAAATCTGTAAGGGAGGAGGGGTAGGCACTAGAGCACTAGGTGGATGTGGAATATTTGAAGATGTGGTAAGGTATTAAGTATGATAGTACCCAAAGGATGTGTCATGAAAGTTTATATCGGTAGAGACATAAAGTTGACATGTAGATGAATTGTAACAACTATAACTTTTTTGTACATGAGAGTAGCTTAGAAAAGTACACTCAAAGATGATACGTATGTGTGTGTGGATAAATAATTGAAAAGGGTCGAAGCCTTAATAATATAGGACTTTGTGGGATAAGTGAGATGAGCTCTACCTTACAAACCCTTTATTACTTATCTTCTCATATAGATATAGAATAAACGATTAGAGGAGCTTTTAATTGTCAAATATTTTTAAAATTTCATCCCTTACACCATTATGTAAACAACACCTCAGGAGTACATACCTTGTGGGATAAGTGAGATGAGCTTCCATAGTACAAACCTTTTTACTCTAACCTTTCCATTTAGCATAAATAATTATATGAGTTTTTTGTTGCCAAAATTCTATTTAGACTTAATACCTCACCTCAGCATAGGGGTGTAAGTGAGCCGAGGCAGCTCGAGGTCCACTCGTTAATGAGCTTATAAGTCAAGCTTATCGAACAACGAGTTCGAGCTCATATGTTAAACGAGCTCGAGCTCAGCCAAGCTGAGCTCTAAAGCTCTATGAACCGCTCGATTAACTTAAAATATATTTAAGAAATAATTTAACTTTGTCTTATATTAACATTTTTTAATATTTTTAATTTAATTCTATATTAAAAATAAAAATTCTATAAACAAATTGTAAATTTTAATTTAAAACTAATAAACTGAGCTCAATAATTGAATCAAGCTTGAGCTTTCCAAACGAGCTCGAGCATATATATTTTTTAACGAGCGAAGATCGAGCTCCTACTCGTGCTCTACAAGAACTAAACACACTTAGCTCGATCTGGTTGATACTCGACTCGACTAGTTTACACTCCTACTTCGGCTTGTATAATCTCAGGTGATCATAGATTTTGCCATCCCCAATATTGAGGCTATTCTCTCATGGGTTCTTTTGGATACTGATGCAAGCAAAAATTAGAAAAACTCTAATTTTTGCAACAAAAAATAATACACTTCCTAGAATATAGAAAATATACAATATACTCCTCTTAAACGAAATACAAGACCACTTTATATCATATAAAAATGACACTTACAAACTTATAAAATAAAAGACTCCTAATTGCTTTTCATCCGTCCAGAAGAAGGATACAAGTGGCGTCGAACTTGCAGAGAGAAGAAAGAGGTAAGAGGCAAAGGCGAAGGAGAGGACAAGTTCGCAATCCTTCCCAAGAAGTAGAAGAAGAAGAAGTGGAATAAGCTCTCAAGCTTTTCCAAAAAAAAAACCCTCAGGTTTTTGTTCCAAAAAACAGATTATATCACTCTCTTTAAATATAAAACATCTCATATTTATAGTTGAAAATGAGGCAGCCAAACAGCCCAAAATACCCTTAATTAAACCATTAAAAATAGGAAAATGAAAGGCCAAGGGGCTGTCCAGAAACAACACCCAAAGATCCACACAGAAAAACGGAAAAAGAAGCCAGGGGGTGGGGGGAGGAACGGACAACCAAAGAGGGAATCGGAGCAGCAGCCAGGGGAACTGGAAAAGGCAGCCAGGGAACCGGAACCAGCAGCCACAAGGGGAACCAGAATAGTCAGCCAAAGGGGGAGGAACCAGCCACGGGATGGGGGAGCCAGGGAGGAAACCGAAAGGCCATGGAAAGGGGAAAGGAAACCATGGAAAGGGGAGCTAGGTGGGGAAACCAAAGAGCCTTTAGAGAGGGGGGAATGAACCAACATAAATACTCAATTTATGAGCTTAAAAGGTAGTCCTAAATACATTAATGAGCTGAATTTAGTAGAGGTTATAAAAGCTCACCAAAATGACAACCCAAAATATTTTGAGCCCCCTTTGCCTACATCATATACTGGCTTTCAACTCCCATATCTTTGGTTTTTGACCTATCTTCCATTGTCAAAGGGCATAGCGGTGTTTGTTGTTGTGGTGTTCGACCTGTTGTGGTTGTGGTCATGGAGAATAACCCTTTCTCCTTGCTTCCTTTTCAGCTGTTCTAAAATCATCCTTCAAAGCATTGCTCTGCCAAATTTGGCTATCCTCCACCCAACTTGCCTCTAAACCCTTTGTAACTATTGTTGGCACTTCGACTTCCACCCCCTCATTAAGGGTTGGCACACTTTCCATGATGACTAAGTTCACCTTGTTCAATGCTCTTAAACATCCATATCTATTTCCCATGACATTTTTTGTTTTGGTTGTACAACAATGGCTTCATTTGGCACGTCATGGATTTAAGATTTTGGTGCTTATACACACATGACAAGTAATCATGATTATTATCCTTCTTTTACTTGTTTTCTCGACCAACTGTTGTTATCATTGATGGTTATCCCTCCCTTGTGTCTAGTAAAGGCTCCATCATTCTCACTAAATACTTATCCTTCTCATATGTTCTATTTTTTCTCCAATTTCCTAACAATTTACTTTCAATTTATTGTTTCACTATAAACTACAACCACTATCAATCCTTTTATCTTCTAATTATTTTTCAAGTTCGTATTATGAGCAAGGCTATTGGTGGATGCGTTGAAACTTGTGTTACTATTTGAAACCTAAGATGCTTACTTTCTTCTCTTTAATCATCACCGGGTATTAGTGGTAGTAGTAGTAGTAGTAGTATTGTCATTTAGGTCTTCCACCAAAAAGACTTCAATAATTTGTTATTTTCACCTCTTCTTTATTCAACTTTCATTATAATATTTGTGATCTAGGTAAAAATCAACGGTTGTTTTTTCCATTATTCATGTTGAGTGTTACTTGTGTTCCATTTGCGTGAGTTTATTATGATATTTGGGGTCCAACTTCAATCTTTAACCACATAAGATTCAGGCAAATGGCCACCTTTTTTTATATTCACTCTCAAATCACATAAGTATATTTACTCAGGTGCATCTTTGAGGTTTTGTCTGAGTTCTGTACCCATCTTCTATTGGGAAATAAAGTTCAATTTTCAACCATGATTATAACTCTTCTTATTAATAATACTTTAGCATTTATGTAGTCTCAATTTAGCTTATTTTGTGTTAATAATGAAAGCATTCATCATAATTCTTGTCCTTATTTGTCTTAATTGAATGGGGTTGCCCGTTATAAATATGGTCATCTACTCAACTTAACTTAAATCTTGATGATCCATATGAATGTTTATTAACAATTCTGGGTTGATGCAGTTTTGACTACATGCTACCTCACTAATCTTATCCAATCTACATCTTTGATAATGTTATCCCCTCTTCTCCATTCTTTATTAATCCCACTTTCCTATTACGCCTAGAGTCTCTGTCATATATGCTTTGTGTGCTTTTCTTTAATACCGGTGACAAACTCTGTCCTTTGATTATTGTCATATATGGTTCCATTTTTTTTGACTTATTTTTCTCATCAATTTCTATTTCTAAGATATACCATGAGGCACTATATGATCTATAGTGGAAACATATTTTGAATAATGAAATGACTGCCTTGATAAATTAACATAATGGGATCTGATTATCTTCTCCAAGCATTAATTCAGTCCCATATTGATGGGTTTATACCATAAAATTACATCTTAATATATTTATTTATTAATGCAAGATATGATTGATTATTAAAGTTTAATTAAATTATGGGATCGAATGCTTCGAATCCTCTTTAGTGTTTGACTCAACTTTGTTCTAATTCTATTGTTTATCACCATTAACTAAGGCTGGCCATTGCTGTAATTGGATGTGAGTAGCGCCTTCCTCTTTGACGATCTTATTGAAGTCGTTTATTTCGAGCAACCGCTAGGGAACGTTGCTCAAGGAGACCAAAGTATGGAAGCGGTGAGGCAAAATCCATTGGTATTCTACATGTGAAATGATATGGATTAAAATGCTTAAGATGGAATTTGGATTTTTCTTATAAATCCTAGAGTTTTAAAATGTGAAAATTGTTCTTCTACTAATCATGTGTTCTATGAAATAATAAAATGCACTGAGGTTTACTATTAGTTCATTTGGGATGTGGTGCTATCAAAGATGATCAGTACTGCCTATGTTTCTAGCTCAAAATAAATTGACATATATTTACCAAGGCATTGAGTTCACTGCAGTGTTGGTAGCTATGTAATAAACTGCAGCTACTTGATATGCATGCTTAATCATGAGGGGAAGTTGTAGCATGAGAAATATTTTCTTAAGAAACCACTCTATATATTGTTAATGTATTATGATTATTTCTTTATACCCTGGGTCATCATATTGATTTGTTATATTGAGTTCTCTATTATAAATAATAGGGTCCACGGTTGAACAATATACAGAAGAAAAAGATTTCCCCTCTAACAATCTTGATCATCGCTAGTACCCCAACCTAGATGTCATCATAGTTGGCTTATCTTGTTGTTTTGGGCTGTCTTGATATCTTAATTTCATTAACGTTTAACTTTCAGAATTTTTTGATGCTCATGCAACTAGAAGATGCTCAGCTGTGGGCTATATTTCTTGTGTGCATTGTATATGTGTTGGTCAGGTCGATGTTCTCTTGGGTCTTGTAAAAACATGCCATTTGCTGCTGCTCTTTTTTTCACATTTTCACATTTTGTATTTAATCCTTATTTAAGTGACAGTCAAACATTCAAAAGAAAATGAGAACAAATAAATGATGTTTGTGAGTTTAAGTGATATGCCATATGATAGAAAATTAGAATTTATAATGATATGCCACATCAGGAAAAACCTTTGGAAACACTAGAAACAGTTGGCGCATTTCAGAAGCTGCCAATGGTGATGCCTTCAGCGGATATACTTTCTTCTGCACTAAGAAAGACAAAAAATATTGCTGCTACAAAGGGTAGAAGTTTGAATCTTTACTTTAGTTGACACTTGACATCCCTAAACTTTGATTATGTATGATGTATCAAAAGTCAGAGTTGATATATCTGCTTTTGGTTTTAAGGTATTGCGAACATTGCCAAGCGAGAGAGAAATAAAGGTGCAAAGCAACTTGATGCATTAATGAAAGTGAGATATTTTATTGGTTTTGTTCCTTCCATGAAATTGGCAGCAACTTTTCTCGGTTGTTCATTTGTTTTTGTATTTTTTTTTCCAGGAATTAGCCATTCCTCTCCGAATGTACGTTGAGAGTTTTCCTAAAAAGCGGTACTTGCATCCATATGAGAAATCACTTATTCAGTTAACTTTTGGAGATGGCAGTTACGAGGAGGTATTCTACCTTGTTTGTTTTTAAATATTTAATGTCTTTTTTGTTTAGTTATTGGACTCTCGAGCAATGCATTGTTTGATGCAGAATTTTCATATACTTTCCCAGGTTCCGTTCTGTCATGTCTATTATTTTTCTAACAAGAATGGATGAAAGTCTTCAGATTGTCCACTTTCTTTGTTTCTTGCTAAAAGGTTAAACAATATAAGGAAGTTGCTTCTTTGGCTATCGGTTCATTTTTTTTATTAGGTGGATTCACATATATAGCACCTAAAACTATATCATTTATATATTTAACACCTAAATATCAATACAACAATAACAACATCAAGCCTTTATCCCACTACATGGGGTCGGTTACATGAATCCTTTTTCTCCATTGTGTTATGCTAAGAGTCAAATTCTCATTTAAATCTAATAAAGAAAGGTCATTTCTAATATTTTCTAACCAAATCTTTTTAGGTCTATCTCTACCTTTCTTAACATAAGCCAAATCCAATACATCTACTTTCCTAGCTGAGTCATCGGAAGACCGTTGTTTTATGTGACCAAACCATCTAAGGTGACTCTCTCTAATCTTATCTTCCATTGGAGCTTGATGAGGACATCTACATAAGCTTCTAGCGTGATGAGACATCAATGGTCTACGGTCATGATCTACTTTTGATTATTATTGTATTTGATGTATTTTGTTTTATGTTTTATGAGTCTATTGCATTTCTTTCTGTTTATGCCCTTGCTTAAGGGTCTCATCATGTGTTTGCCTTAGGTGCAATTGTGTCTTTGTATTTTCTTTATTCCGTTGGCTATTTAAAGCCTTCCCCTCTTCATGTGAGGGTTAATGAATGAATGAATGGAATGAATGAATATTATGATGAAATTTTCTACGTTTTACTCTTGTGAGAGTTTGAGGGTTCTTGGAGAAAGTCCCTTGGTGAAGGGCAAAAGCAATACCCACCAGTTGCCGGAACCGTCCGGGGCTCGTGGTCTGACTCTTCCCCTTGCTACCATCGCCGACCCTTCTTCATTTGTCCTAGCCGTAAGTCTTCCCCTCCTAGCCCCTCCCGCCGGCCTCCCCAAGCTCCACAAGCCACTGGTCCTCAATCCACTACCCAAGGATTTTGAATTTCAAATTTCAAAATCATCCTTAATTACGTTCCTAAAATACCTCATTGTTATTTAGGAAATAATCCTTGTTGGCATTCAATCTATTTTGAATTTCAAAACCCTTCCTAGAGAGTTAGAACCTCATTTGGAAGTTATTTCAATTTGAGTCAAATCTGAAATTAAAATCAAATTTGAATTCAATCACATTAATTCTATTGGGGACCACATACAATGAATCTAGACATGTTTCCCCTTTTCCTATGGCCGGCCCCCTCTCCTCCATGATTTATCTCTCAAATTAAATCTAAATCCCGCAATTAATACCCATTAATCCCCTCCTACAGCAGCCACCCCCTAGTGGTTCCAATTGTGAATTAGTTTGAATTCTAAATCAATTCCCTTCCTCTTTTTGAAAACTTGAAATTTATTTCAGGTTCCCTATTACGTTTTCCCTCTTTGTCCAAAATTTTGTATCCAAAACTGCTGGATTAATTCCTGCATTAATTTCTGGACGTCCCCTTGCTGCCCTGGAATTCCAGCAAAGGAAATTTCACAGTGCAACTGCCAGAACTTTCCCGTTGTTGCCCAACGTCTGCTGTTCAGATTTTCTGAGCCAAACAACTTGCTTTCCAGCCGCTTAGAAGGATCCCCAACCGCTGTCCAAGACCCCTAAGACCCAAAACCTGCTATCTAGACTTCCTTGGGTACTGTCCAGACCTCACGAGTTGCTGTTCCAGACTCCCTTGACTCAAAACTGCTGCTATCCTGAACTTCAGCCTCAGGAAAACTGCTGTCCAAGATCAAAATTGCTGCCGTCTTGAATTTCTTCACCACTTCCCGGCTGTTCCATGCTGCGGGAAGGCTCTTGGTTGCTGCCCACATCTTCCCCAGCATTCAAACGATCTTGTCAGAGTGTGCAATTCTCTTATCTTTGGGTAAACTCCACATCCGACTCTCTATCATCATAGTTGCATCCTTGATTGTGGTTTTATTATATTCATGAAGATAATGTTAATGATTTTCCGCTAAAACCGAGTGATTGTAAGAGTTGTGTGAGAGGTCCTTCATAATACCAATCTCATTGTTAGTCTAGGGATTTATGTTGAAAATCATTTATGGATGCAATGTTAGATTAAGTTACTATTTTACGATCTTAACTCATATGCATGTAATTTAGCCTAAACTTGTTTTACCGCTCTTTGTAATTTATCTTGTCGCCTAAAATCAATATAAATGATATAATTATTGTTGCTCCTAAAGTCAAGTGTGCAAGCTCTTACTACAAATCATTTTCGCATGATTGTTAATTCTACATCAGAGCTACTCCAACCTTTTCTCGTATATCGGTATATGCTCATTTCATAGAGTAAAGCCACTGATCCACATGAGCATCCTCATCTCTGCAATACTTAACTTTATATTATGCTTCTCTTTTAATGGCCAACATTCTGCGCTATAAAGCATTGCAGGTCTTAACATCTAAATATCAATATTTACACAATATAGCACTTTCTTATCTCCTCATGAAACCATGGTCAGAACCTTAACCGGACATCACTGAATGCCAAAGACGAGAAAGTTGCTACGGAATCTTGCTTGGATGGGCAACAGTAGGATTGATGACATGCAATCATAAAAAAGAAACGTGCAGAGCAAGTTGTGACATAAAGGGGACCGATGACAACGAGAAGGGGAAGGGGATTCATGGTCTTGCCATTGAAGAGTCTCGCAAACCGGCTAGGAGGTCGTGACCTGGGATTCATAGACAAATAAGTCGACGTTGTGTGTACGGCAATGGGACCAGTGAAGAAGTTGTGATTGTGAATGACGTCGTGGTGACATGATTGAATGGAGGGTGTTATTTTTGCTCACTATTTAAGGTTTTGAGTAATATGCATGTAAATATTGAAATTTAAGGGTTTAATATGTAAATGATATAATTTTGAGTGCTATATATGTAAATACACCTTTTTATTAATGTAGTTATCATGAAAACGCATGAATATTCGTGGAAAATTGTTGGACAAAAATGATCATTGTTTTTCAGTTCTTTGCTATCTGGAAATGTAGTTTGGATTTTCCCATTGATTACTTGAATTGAAGCTTTGGTTCTGCCATGCTTAATTGGTGATTATTTGAGCAGAAAGATATTTGTGATGAAGCTGTTCATTTATTTTTTTTGAGAAAAAAGCATCGAGAACTCTTATGAATTTTGTTGAAACTGGAATATTTGTCAGGGTTTCAAAATCAAATTGGATTGCAAAATATGAAGCTGTATATTCTACAAGAATAATTATTTGTTGTTGTCTCTAATGCAATATCACTATTCATGGCAGATAATTTTGTAATGCTCATTTTTTGTGTAATTTTTCAGTTATATGCATGGAATTTAACATCTTTTCTTTCTAGCACTGATAATAAGCTGAGAATTTTTATTGTTTGTGGATATAACTTTAATGATACTTTTGTAATGATTTTGCAGGTATTGAAAAGGGTAGATGATCTCAGAAAGAAGCTCTTATTCGTTGGAAAGAAGCATGCAGCCCTTTGCGCCCAGGTTTCAAACGAATTTTGCTTCATACAGTTTGAATGCTTGTATTTGCTTTACAGGCACATTTAAAATATAAGATCTTTTTTTTCCCTGGGCTATCAGAAAGAAGGAAGAATTGTCTCCTCATTTGCTTTTTTTTGCATGACTCATGCTTGTTTCATGCGTAGTAATTTAATAGAACTCAAGCACAGCGAATAAGATCAACTTCAAAATTTATACCAATGAAGAATTAATATAGTTGTTTAAGTTCTTATTTTTTCATTCTTGTTCTAGAACATTATTTTATTCACAAAAAGTATTGCTATGCCCTTCTAGAAGGCTCTAACCATGGTAGTGCGTATTCTTTCAAACATTTCACTCGTATTCTAGTACGCTACTTAATTTCTACTTACTTTTCTTGCTACATTAGATGTTCAAATCATATTCTTTGGACAAAATCTCCAGATATACCAGGCCAGAATCCTATTGGAATGCTTTATGAAAACAGAACATGATACAAAGGAACAACAATTAACTAAAAGGCCTCTGAGTGCTTTTATAACATTATGAGGACGAAATTTCAAAACCCATCACCTTGAATAATGGTTATCTGTTGGAAATATATTTTGGTGAGCATGCTCAACTTGTTAGGAAATTATCATCAAAATCACAAGAATTTTAGTTAGGCTATAGAAATATTTAGAGAAAAAGTTAAAGAAAAAATAGGAAAGCGATGCTGTTGTCTTTGGATTAGATGGAGCATTTAAGAGATACTAATAAAAATATTTTCTAGTGTAAGATTCAAAATCTCAAAATTTAGGTTTTTCATGAGGGAGCTAATGTTATGTGAGAAAAAGTAGTTAGTGATATTAAGAAGGTTGTAAACTATATATTTGGAGAACCAAAAGAAAAAGCTCCTAATAGTAAAAAAATGTTGGTAGTGGAATTGAAATGTGCAAGAAAATATTAAAAATACGAAGCTTTGTTATAAAAATTAGTTTAGATGTAAAAACTCAAAAAATTGGTTAAGATATAGAGGCCTATAGGGACTTTAAGAAAGCATTATGCAAGGAAAATAATTTTTCTTTTAGTAATTTATAAGATGGATTAGATACTAATGAGGATGAAAGATGTATTTGTAGGTTAGTTAATCAAAGAGACAAGATAAGTAAGGATCTAGTTCAAGTGAAATACATTAAGGATGGAGATCATAAAGTTCTTTCTTAAAGAAGGATATTCAACATAGGTAGATGAGATATTTCAATAAAAATTTCAATGAAGATTTTGAGAATACGGTTGCTTAGCACCCTAAATGAGAAATAGTGAATTTTATTTTTATCTTCGTATTGGTAAATTGAAGTTGGTGAGACTTTAAATAAAATGAAATGTAAAAAACGAGGACCAGATGATATTCAAATAGAGATATGAAAATACTTGGGAGATCTAGGTATTTCTTGGCTTACTAAAATTTTTAATATTATTTTGAGACTAAAAAGATATCATATGAGTGGAGAATGAGTGTGTTAGTTTCTATTTTTAAAAATAAAGGTGATGCACAAAAGTGTGCGAATTATAGAGAAAATAAGTTAACGTGTCATGCATTAAAATTATGAGAGAGAGTAATTGAGCATAGGTTGCGCCGTGATACTACTTTTTTCAAAATCACTTTGGATTAATGCCGGAATGGTCTACTATGGAAGTTAAAAGGTTTTAGGGAGAAATATAAAGAGAGTAGAGAGTATCCATGTAATACCCCACAGTACCTCTTAACAGTAAGATAGAGTATAACAAGAATAAACATAACATTTCCATCACTTAACACCTCTTTCATATCATTACATTTCCACTTACTTGGAATTATCATATGCTTTCTCTAAATCAATAAATATCATGATTGGATACTCTCTACTCTCTTATATATTTCTCCTAAAACCTTTTAACTTCCATAGTAACCATCTCCGCATTAATCCAAAGTGATTTTGAAAAAAGTAGTATCACGCGCAACCTATCTCAATTACTCTCTCTCATAATTTAATGCATGACACGTTAACTTATTTTCTCTATAATTCGCACACTTTGTGCATCACCTTTATTTTAAAAATAAGAAAACTAACACACTCATTCTCCACTCATATGATATTCTTTTTAGTCTCAAAATAAAATTAAAAAATTTTAGTAAGCCAAGAAATACCTAGATCTCCCAAGTATTTTCATATCTCTATTTGAATATCATCTGGTCCTCGTTTTTTACATTTCATTTATTTAAAGTCTCGCCAACTTCAATTTACCAATACGAAGATAAAAAAAATTCACTATTTCTCATTTAGGTGCTAAGCAACGCATTTTCTCAAAATCTTCATTGAAATTTTTATTGAAATATCTCATCTACCTATGTTGAATATCTTCTTTAAGAAAGAACTTTATGATCTCCATCCTTAATGTATTCACTTGAACTAGATCCTTACTTATCTTGTCTCTTTGATTAACTAACCTACAAATACATCTTTCATCCTCATAGTATCTAATCCATCTTATAAATTACTAAAAGAAAAATATTTCCTGCATAATGCTTCTTAAAATCCCTATAGGCCTCTATATCTTTAACCAATTTTTGAGTTTTACACTAACTAATTTTTATAACAAAGCTTCGTTTTTAATATTTTCTTGCACATTTCAATTCACTACCACATTTTTTACTATTAGGAGCTTTTTCTTTTGATTCTCCAAATATATATTTTACAACCTTCTTAATATCACTAACTAATTTTTCTCACATAACATTAGCTCCCACATGAAAACCTAAATTTGAGATTTTGAATTCTTACACTAGAAAATATTGTTAATAGTATCTCAAATGCTCCATCTAATCCAAAGACAACAGCATCGCTTTCCTATTTTTCTTAACTTTTCTCAAATATTTCTATAGCCTAACTAAAATTCTTGTGATTTTGATGATAATTTCCTAACAAGTTGAGCATGCTCACCAAAATATATTTCCAACAATAACCATTATTCAAGGTGATGGGTTTTGAAATTTCGTCCTCATAATGTTAAAAGCACTCAGAGCCTTTTAGTTAATTGTTTCCTTTGTATCAGTTCTGTTTCATAAAGCATTTCCAATAGGATTCTGGCCTGGTATTTCTGGAGATTTTGTCCAAAGAATATGATTTGAACATCTAATGTAGCAAGAAAAGAAGTAAGAAATTAAGGTAGCGTACTAGAATACGAGTGAAATGTTTGAAAAGAATACGCACTAGCAGGTTAGAGCTTCTAGAAGGCATAGCAATACTTTTTGGAATAAAATAATGTTCCAGAACAAGAATGAAAAAATAAGAACTTAAACAACTATATTAATTCTTCATTTATAAAATTTTGAAGTTGATCTTATTCGCTGTGCTTGAGTTCTTTAAATTACTACGCATGAAAAAAGCATGAGTCATGCAAAAAAAGCAAATGAGGAGACAATTCTTCCTTCTTCTGATAGCCCAGGGAAAAAAAAGATCTTATATTTTAAATGTGCCTGTAAAGCAAATACAAGCATTCAAACTGTATGAAGCAAAATTCGTTGAAACCTGGCGCAAAGGGCTGCATGCTTCTTTCCAACGAATAAGAGCTTCTTCTGAGATCATCTACCCTTTCAATACCTGCAAATCATTACAAAAGTATCATTAAAGTTATATCCACAAACAATAAAAATTCTCAGCTTATTACAGTGCTAGAAAAGAAAAGATGTTAAATTCCATGCATATAACTGAAAAATTACACAAAAAAATGAGCATTACAAAATTATCTGCCATGAATAGTGATATGCATTAGAGACACAACAAATAATTATTCTTGTAGAACATACAGCTTCATATTTTGCAATCCAATTTGATTTTGAACCCTGACAAATATTCAGTTTCAACAAAATTCATAAGAGTTCTCGATGCTTTTTTCTCAAAAAAAAATATGAACAGCTTCATCACAAAATATCTTTCTCCTCAAATAATCACCCAAATAAGCATAGCAGAACCAAAGCTTCAATTCAAGTAATCAATGGAAAATCCAAACTACATTTCCGATAGCAAAGAACTGAAAAACAATGATCATTTTTGTCCAACAATTTTCCACGAATTCATGTTTTTTCATGATAACTACAATTAATAAAAAGGTGTATTTACATATATAGCACTCAAAATTATATCATTACATATTAAACCCTTACAATTTCTAATATACATGCATATTACTCAAAACTC